TCCAACAACTCTTTCATGGCTGTGTCGCGTTCTCTCACAATTTCGTTTACGCGCGACTCCCAGTCTCGACTGGCTATCGCCAACACTGTGTTGCAATGCTCTTCCATCGATGTCTCAAGCCGACACACTTGATCCCGTAGTGCAGAACACTCGTCACGAGAAGCAGACAGTCGACCCTCCAGGTCTGACATTGCGCAAACCTTCTCGTGTCTATAGGCCTCCAATTCCTCTCGGGCAGTTGACGCCTGTTCGACTGCCTGACGAAGAGCTGTTTGCATCAACACCATCTCAGATGCCTGCTTATCACACAGGTCTCGACACTTGCAGAGCTCCTCAGACAGCTCACGGTTCCGGTCGCACAGTCTGCTCATCTCACTTACCGAATCCCAATCTTGTCCTCTCTGCATCGACGTCACTTCATGAGACTCTTGTAGTCGCACAAAGCTATCAAGCATAACAGTAGACTCCAAGTGTTCTGGCCATGTCATTGTCTCACACTCACGGTCCACGTGTTCAACCACACCATGGGACAACCCTGTTGTGACGGCATCTAAACACTCCTGCACTCGTTGTTCGTGCTCTCTGCACCAATCTCCATAGTCGGAACGCAGGCCTCTTATATGGTCAACCACAAACGCCAACAATGCTTTCGTCTTGGTCACATCATTCTCCAAGTCAGTAATCACAGTCATATAACTCTCTAGACGACGCTTCAGCGACTCACACTCACAGATCAGGGCATTGTTCATTGACTCACATTCTTTCAGTTTCTCAGTGACTGCCTCCAACTCGAACGATTGTGTATCCAGTGCACGCTGCAAATCCTCTCGCAACCCATCTGATGTGCAACGGTCAGTCGACGAGCCTTCGTGTGCATAGTCGATGTCTTGCACTGGTGACGTGGATCGACCAACTGTTTCGCACAGGCGATGTGAAACCCGTTCGTACTCACTCATTCTGTTCGCCATGTCGGCGCGGTCAGCATTCGCCTCAGCATGTGCTGCACGCAATTCTCTCACCTGCTTCAACAAGAAACCCAGTGATCCTCTGACCTCATCCATCTCCATGCACACATCGTCCAACAGTGTCACGCGCTCTGAAATCTTACTTCGTAACAAGTCTACCTCTGTCATCAGCTCTTTGTTGTGCTTTGACAGTGCATCAGCTTCGTCCGTCACTTTCATCGACCGGTCAGGCACACGAGAACTAAGAGGCATCACATCCATCGGCTTATCCTCACACATCATAACGCCCTCCAGCTCACGCAGACGCACACTCAACTCTGTCTTGGCATCCTCAAGTTCGCAAATTCTGCTCATGGCCTCCTTCAATCGCGCTCTTAGGCTGTCTGTATTCAACAGGGCAAGTTCGGGATCGTCATTGTCTTGTTCACTCGGCGGTTTCGTCCAACTCTGAGTGGCGTGAATGGGCAAGACCGCTTCCTCGTTTGAAACGCCCTCAACACACAAGTCCGTAGTTTGTCTGTCCATTCGATCAGGCACAATGCCTGACACTGAGTCGCCTGCAACAGTCTCCACCAGCTGCCTGTCAGGAACTCCGGCAAACACGTCTGCCTCCACTCTGTCTGTGTCATCAACCTCTGCAAACTCACGGACAACCACATCGGGCGCCTTTCTCACAGTATCACAAGGAATCGACCAAGTTGTCTCGTTCACCATTATACGTGACTCCAGTTCTTGCACTTCGGTCTGTTTCATGGTCAACTCGAGCTGTGAACGCTCCAGAGCCGCCAACGTCGCCGCATTTTCCTCACGCAGATGGGCAACCTCGAGCTGCAACGTCGACACCAGGTCAAAAACTTTGTCGTCAATCTCCGTCTGCACACACTCCTCCTCCACAGCAACAACAACAGCAGCAGCAGCAGCAGCAGCAACGTTCGGTCCACGACACTCCACGCACATCGCCGACACCTCTTCCTTGCTCTCAAACACATCCATATTTGCACGCAGTATGTCCAAATCACGTCGTTCTGCCTCTACAGTCTCCCTCAACTCATTCACTTCGTCTCGTAAATGACGTTTCTCCTCTCTCAGATCCGCCACTTCACTCTCCTTCACAGTCAACAAACGCCGGACATCCATCAAAGAAGCATCGCTCTCCTCCACCGATCTAGACAGCTTCACTATCTGTTCATAACAAGACGTCAACTCTTCGCGCAGTTGACCAACCACATTCGACTCATCTTCACACAAACTTGAACTCACTAGCTTCTCTCTCGTCATCTCCACTGGACTCCTGGTCGACTGATCTACGGTCGACTGATCGGTAAATCCTGAAGTTGACAATGTGTCAGTAGCCAACCAAGACACGCTGTCTGTCGCTTGGGTCTCCACACTCACAAGTCTAGTCGGAGAACCAACCGACACACTAGGCTTGTGCTCCTCGTGTATACATTCTGAGGAGTAGTCGCTCCAACCGTCAACAACCATGCAATTCGACTCGTCGTCCTCTGCATCTTTACCAACGCCCACGCTCACAGTCTCTCTCGTATCACTAGTGAACCCTGATGACAAAACTATATCACGTTCAATCATACGATCTAGCATGTCAGTTCCCATGTCACTTCTGCACACTGTTTTTGCCAAACTGGCGTCCACATCGTCTGCCATATCCAACCTACTACGCAGTTCCAACAACTCTTTCATGGCTGTGTCGCGTTCTCTCACAATTTCGTTTACGCGCGACTCCCAGTCTCGACTGGCTATCGCCAACACTGTGTTGCAATGCTCTTCCATCGATGTCTCAAGCCGACACACTTGATCCCGTAGTGCAGAACACTCGTCACGAGAAGCAGACAGTCGACCCTCCAGGTCTGACATTGCGCAAACCTTCTCGTGTCTATAGGCCTCCAATTCCTCTCGGGCAGTTGACGCCTGTTCGACTGCCTGACGAAGAGCTGTTTGCATCAACACCATCTCAGATGCCTGCTTATCACACAGGTCTCGACACTTGCAGAGCTCCTCAGACAGCTCACGGTTCCGGTCGCACAGTCTGCTCATCTCACTTACCGAATCCCAATCTTGTCCTCTCTGCATCGACGTCACTTCATGAGACTCTTGTAGTCGCACAAAGCTATCAAGCATAACAGTAGACTCCAAGTGTTCTGGCCATGTCATTGTCTCACACTCACGGTCCACGTGTTCAACCACACCATGGGACAACCCTGTTGTGACGGCATCTAAACACTCCTGCACTCGTTGTTCGTGCTCTCTGCACCAATCTCCATAGTCGGAACGCAGGCCTCTTATATGGTCAACCACAAACGCCAACAATGCTTTCGTCTTGGTCACATCATTCTCCAAGTCAGTAATCACAGTCATATAACTCTCTAGACGACGCTTCAGCGACTCACACTCACAGATCAGGGCATTGTTCATTGACTCACATTCTTTCAGTTTCTCAGTGACTGCCTCCAACTCGAACGATTGTGTATCCAGTGCACGCTGCAAATCCTCTCGCAACCCATCTGATGTGCAACGGTCAGTCGACGAGCCTTCGTGTGCATAGTCGATGTCTTGCACTGGTGACGTGGATCGACCAACTGTTTCGCACAGGCGATGTGAAACCCGTTCGTACTCACTCATTCTGTTCGCCATGTCGGCGCGGTCAGCATTCGCCTCAGCATGTGCTGCACGCAATTCTCTCACCTGCTTCAACAAGAAACCCAGTGATCCTCTGACCTCATCCATCTCCATGCACACATCGTCCAACAGTGTCACGCGCTCTGAAATCTTACTTCGTAACAAGTCTACCTCTGTCATCAGCTCTTTGTTGTGCTTTGACAGTGCATCAGCTTCGTCCGTCACTTTCATCGACCGGTCAGGCACACGAGAACTAAGAGGCATCACATCCATCGGCTTATCCTCACACATCATAACGCCCTCCAGCTCACGCAGACGCACACTCAACTCTGTCTTGGCATCCTCAAGTTCGCAAATTCTGCTCATGGCCTCCTTCAATCGCGCTCTTAGGCTGTCTGTATTCAACAGGGCAAGTTCGGGATCGTCATTGTCTTGTTCACTCGGCGGTTTCGTCCAACTCTGAGTGGCGTGAATGGGCAAGACCGCTTCCTCGTTTGAAACGCCCTCAACACACAAGTCCGTAGTTTGTCTGTCCATTCGATCAGGCACAATGCCTGACACTGAGTCGCCTGCAACAGTCTCCACCAGCTGCCTGTCAGGAACTCCGGCAAACACGTCTGCCTCCACTCTGTCTGTGTCATCAACCTCTGCAAACTCACGGACAACCACATCGGGCGCCTTTCTCACAGTATCACAAGGAATCGACCAAGTTGTCTCGTTCACCATTATACGTGACTCCAGTTCTTGCACTTCGGTCTGTTTCATGGTCAACTCGAGCTGTGAACGCTCCAGAGCCGCCAACGTCGCCGCATTTTCCTCACGCAGATGGGCAACCTCGAGCTGCAACGTCGACACCAGGTCAAAAACTTTGTCGTCAATCTCCGTCTGCACACACTCCTCCTCCACAGCAACAGCAGCAGCAGCAGCAGCAACGTTCGGTCCACGACACTCCACGCACATCGCCGACACCTCTTCCTTGCTCTCAAACACATCCATATTTGCACGCAGTATGTCCAAATCACGTCGTTCTGCCTCTACAGTCTCCCTCAACTCATTCACTTCGTCTCGTAAATGACGTTTCTCCTCTCTCAGATCCGCCACTTCACTCTCCTTCACAGTCAACAAACGCCGGACATCCATCAAAGAAGCATCGCTCTCCTCCACCGATCTAGACAGCTTCACTATCTGTTCATAACAAGACGTCAACTCTTCGCGCAGTTGACCAACCACATTCGACTCATCTTCACACAAACTTGAACTCACTAGCTTCTCTCTCGTCATCTCCACTGGACTCCTGGTCGACTGATCTACGGTCGACTGATCGGTAAATCCTGAAGTTGACAATGTGTCAGTAGCCAACCAAGACACGCTGTCTGTCGCTTGGGTCTCCACACTCACAAGTCTAGTCGGAGAACCAACCGACACACTAGGCTTGTGCTCCTCGTGTATACATTCTGAGGAGTAGTCGCTCCAACCGTCAACAACCATGCAATTCGACTCGTCGTCCTCTGCATCTTTACCAACGCCCACGCTCACAGTCTCTCTCGTATCACTAGTGAACCCTGATGACAAAACTATATCACGTTCAATCATACGATCTAGCATGTCAGTTCCCATGTCACTTCTGCACACTGTTTTTGCCAAACTGGCGTCCACATCGTCTGCCATATCCAACCTACTACGCAGTTCCAACAACTCTTTCATGGCTGTGTCACGTTCTCTCACAATTTCGTTTACGCGCGACTCCCAGTCTCGACTGGCTATCGCCAACACTGTGTTGCAATGCTCTTCCATCGATGTCTCAAGCCGACACACTTGATCCCGTAGTGCAGAACACTCGTCACGAGAAGCAGACAGTCGACCCTCCAGGTCTGACATTGCGCAAACCTTCTCGTGTCTATAGGCCTCCAATTCCTCTCGGGCAGTTGACGCCTGTTCGACTGCCTGACGAAGAGCTGTTTGCATCAACACCATCTCAGATGCCTGCTTATCACACAGGTCTCGACACTTGCAGAGCTCCTCAGACAGCTCACGGTTCCGGTCGCACAGTCTGCTCATCTCACTTACCGAATCCCAATCTTGTCCTCTCTGCATCGACGTCACTTCATGAGACTCTTGTAGTCGCACAAAGCTATCAAGCATAACAGTAGACTCCAAGTGTTCTGGCCATGTCATTGTCTCACACTCACGGTCCACGTGTTCAACCACACCATGGGACAACCCTGTTGTGACGGCATCTAAACACTCCTGCACTCGTTGTTCGTGCTCTCTGCACCAATCTCCATAGTCGGAACGCAGGCCTCTTATATGGTCAACCACAAACGCCAACAATGCTTTCGTCTTGGTCACATCATTCTCCAAGTCAGTAATCACAGTCATATAACTCTCTAGACGACGCTTCAGCGACTCACACTCACAGATCAGGGCATTGTTCATTGACTCACATTCTTTCAGTTTCTCAGTGACTGCCTCCAACTCGAACGATTGTGTATCCAGTGCACGCTGCAAATCCTCTCGCAACCCATCTGATTTGCAACGGTCAGTCGACGAGCCTTCGTGTGCATAGTCGATGTCTTGCACTGGTGACGTGGATCGACCAACTGTTTCGCACAGGCGATGTGAAACCCGTTCGTACTCACTCATTCTGTTCGCCATGTCGGCGCGGTCAGCATTCGCCTCAGCATGTGCTGCACGCAATTCTCTCACCTGCTTCAACAAGAAACCCAGTGATCCTCTGACCTCATCCATCTCCATGCACACATCGTCCAACAGTGTCACGCGCTCTGAAATCTTACTTCGTAACAAGTCTACCTCTGTCATCAGCTCTTTGTTGTGCTTTGACAGTGCATCAGCTTCGTCCGTCACTTTCATCGACCGGTCAGGCACACGAGAACTAAGAGGCATCACATCCATCGGCTTATCCTCACACATCATAACGCCCTCCAGCTCACGCAGACGCACACTCAACTCTGTCTTGGCATCCTCAAGTTCGCAAATTCTGCTCATGGCCTCCTTCAATCGCGCTCTTAGGCTGTCTGTATTCAACAGGGCAAGTTCGGGATCGTCATTGTCTTGTTCACTCGGCGGTTTCGTCCAACTCTGAGTGGCGTGAATGGGCAAGACCGCTTCCTCGTTTGAAACGCCCTCAACACACAAGTCCGTAGTTTGTCTGTCCATTCGATCAGGCACAATGCCTGACACTGAGTCGCCTGCAACAGTCTCCACCAGCTGCCTGTCAGGAACTCCGGCAAACACGTCTGCCTCCACTCTGTCTGTGTCATCAACCTCTGCAAACTCACGGACAACCACATCGGGCGCCTTTCTCACAGTATCACAAGGAATCGACCAAGTTGTCTCGTTCACCATTATACGTGACTCCAGTTCTTGCACTTCGGTCTGTTTCATGGTCAACTCGAGCTGTGAACGCTCCAGAGCCGCCAACGTCGCCGCATTTTCCTCACGCAAATGGGCAACCTCGAGCTGCAACGTCGACACCAGGTCAAAAACTTTGTCGTCAATCTCCGTCTGCACACACTCCTCCTCCACAGCAACAGCAGCAGCAGCAGCAGCAACGTTCGGTCCACGACACTCCACGCACATCGCCGACACCTCTTCCTTGCTCTCAAACACATCCATATTTGCACGCAGTATGTCCAAATCACGTCGTTCTGCCTCTACAGTCTCCCTCAACTCATTCACTTCGTCTCGTAAATGACGTTTCTCCTCTCTCAGATCCGCCACTTCACTCTCCTTCACAGTCAACAAACGCCGGACATCCATCAAAGAAGCATCGCTCTCCTCCACCGATCTAGACAGCTTCACTATCTGTTCATAACAAGACGTCAACTCTTCGCGCAGTTGACCAACCACATTCGACTCATCTTCACACAAACTTGAACTCACTAGCTTCTCTCTCGTCATCTCCACTGGACTCCTGGTCGACTGATCTACGGTCGACTGATCGGTAAATCCTGAAGTTGACAATGTGTCAGTAGCCAACCAAGACACGCTGTCTGTCGCTTGGGTCTCCACACTCACAAGTCTAGTCGGAGAACCAACCGACACACTAGGCTTGTGCTCCTCGTGTATACATTCTGAGGAGTAGTCGCTCCAACCGTCAACAACCATGCAATTCGACTCGTCGTCCTCTGCATCTTTACCAACGCCCACGCTCACAGTCTCTCTCGTATCACTAGTGAACCCTGATGACAAAACTATGTCACGTTCAATCATACGATCTAGCATGTCAGTTCCCATGTCACTTCTGCAAACTGTTTTTGCCAAACTGGCGTCCACATCGTCTGCCATATCCAACCTACTACGCAGTTCCAACAACTCTTTCATGGCTGTGTCGCGTTCTCTCACAATTTCGTTTACGCGCGACTCCCAGTCTCGACTGGCTATCGCCAACACTGTGTTGCAATGCTCTTCCATCGATGTCTCAAGCCGACACACTTGATCCCGTAGTGCAGAACACTCGTCACGAGAAGCAGACAGTCGACCCTCCAGGTCTGACATTGCGCAAACCTTCTCGTGTCTATAGGCCTCCAATTCCTCTCGGGCAGTTGACGCCTGTTCGACTGCCTGACGAAGAGCTGTTTGCATCAACACCATCTCAGATGCCTGCTTATCACACAGGTCTCGACACTTGCAGAGCTCCTCAGACAGCTCACGGTTCCGGTCGCACAGTCTGCTCATCTCACTTACCGAATCCCAATATTGTCCTCTCTGCATCGACGTCACTTCATGAGACTCTTGTAGTCGCACAAAGCTATCAAGCATAACAGTAGACTCCAAGTGTTCTGGCCATGTCATTGTCTCACACTCACGGTCCACGTGTTCAACCACACCATGGGACAACCCTGTTGTGACGGCATCTAAACACTCCTGCACTCGTTGTTCGTGCTCTCTGCACCAATCTCCATAGTCGGAACGCAGGCCTCTTATATGGTCAACCACAAACGCCAACAATGCTTTCGTCTTGGTCACATCATTCTCCAAGTCAGTAATCACAGTCATATAACTCTCTAGACGACGCTTCAGCGACTCACACTCACAGATCAGGGCATTGTTCATTGACTCACATTCTTTCAGTTTCTCAGTGACTGCCTCCAACTCGAACGATTGTGTATCCAGTGCACGCTGCAAATCCTCTCGCAACCCATCTGATGTGCAACGGTCAGTCGACGAGCCTTCGTGTGCATAGTCGATGTCTTGCACTGGTGACGTGGATCGACCAACTGTTTCGCACAGGCGATGTGAAACCCGTTCGTACTCACTCATTCTGTTCGCCATGTCGGCGCGGTCAGCATTCGCCTCAGCATGTGCTGCACGCAATTCTCTCACCTGCTTCAACAAGAAACCCAGTGATCCTCTGACCTCATCCATCTCCATGCACACATCGTCCAACAGTGTCACGCGCTCTGAAATCTTACTTCGTAACAAGTCTACCTCTGTCATCAGCTCTTTGTTGTGCTTTGACAGTGCATCAGCTTCGTCCGTCACTTTCATCGACCGGTCAGGCACACGAGAACTAAGAGGCATCACATCCATCGGCTTATCCTCACACATCATAACGCCCTCCAGCTCACGCAGACGCACACTCAACTCTGTCTTGGCATCCTCAAGTTCGCAAATTCTGCTCATGGCCTCCTTCAATCGCGCTCTTAGGCTGTCTGTATTCAACAGGGCAAGTTCGGGATCGTCATTGTCTTGTTCACTCGGCGGTTTCGTCCAACTCTGAGTGGCGTGAATGGGCAAGACCGCTTCCTCGTTTGAAACGCCCTCAACACACAAGTCCGTAGTTTGTCTGTCCATTCGATCAGGCACAATGCCTGACACTGAGTCGCCTGCAACAGTCTCCACCAGCTGCCTGTCAGGAACTCCGGCAAACACGTCTGCCTCCACTCTGTCTGTGTCATCAACCTCTGCAAACTCACGGACAACCACATCGGGCGCCTTTCTCACAGTATCACAAGGAATCGACCAAGTTGTCTCGTTCACCATTATATGTGACTCCAGTTCTTGCACTTCGGTCTGTTTCATGGTCAACTCGAGCTGTGAACGCTCCAGAGCCGCCAACGTCGCCGCATTTTCCTCACGCAAATGAGCAACCTCGAGCTGCAACGTCGACACCAGGTCAAAAACTTTGTCGTCAATCTCCGTCTGCACACACTCCTCCTCCACAGCAACAGCAGCAGCAGCAGCAGCAACGTTCGGTCCACGACACTCCACGCACATCGCCGACACCTCTTCCTTGCTCTCAAACACATCCATATTTGCACGCAGTATGTCCAAATCACGTCGTTCTGCCTCTACAGTCTCCCTCAACTCATTCACTTCGTCTCGTAAATGACGTTTCTCCTCTCTCAGATCCGCCACTTCACTCTCCTTCACAGTCAACAAACGCCGGACATCCATCAAAGAAGCATCGCTCTCCTCCACCGATCTAGACAGCTTCACTATCTGTTCATAACAAGACGTCAACTCTTCGCGCAGTTGACCAACCACATTCGACTCATCTTCACACAAACTTGAACTCACTAGCTTCTCTCTCGTCATCTCCACTGGACTCCTGGTCGACTGATCTACGGTCGACTGATCGGTAAATCCTGAAGTTGACAATGTGTCAGTAGCCAACCAAGACACGCTGTCTGTCGCTTGGGTCTCCACACTCACAAGTCTAGTCGGAGAACCAACCGACACACTAGGCTTGTGCTCCTCGTGTATACATTCTGAGGAGTAGTCGCTCCAACCGTCAACAACCATGCAATTCGACTCGTCGTCCTCTGCATCTTTACCAACGCCCACGCTCACAGTCTCTCTCGTATCACTAGTGAACCCTGATGACAAAACTATATCACGTTCAATCATACGATCTAGCATGTCAGTTCCCATGTCACTTCTGCACACTGTTTTTGCCAAACTGGCGTCCACATCGTCTGCCATATCCAACCTACTACGCAGTTCCAACAACTCTTTCATGGCTGTGTCGCGTTCTCTCACAATTTCGTTTACGCGCGACTCCCAGTCTCGACTGGCTATCGCCAACACTGTGTTGCAATGCTCTTCCATCGATGTCTCAAGCCGACACACTTGATCCCGTAGTGCAGAACACTCGTCACGAGAAGCAGACAGTCGACCCTCCAGGTCTGACATTGCGCAAACCTTCTCGTGTCTATAGGCCTCCAATTCCTCTCGGGCAGTTGACGCCTGTTCGACTGCCTGACGAAGAGCTGTTTGCATCAACACCATCTCAGATGCCTGCTTATCACACAGGTCTCGACACTTGCAGAGCTCCTCAGACAGCTCACGGTTCCGGTCGCACAGTCTGCTCATCTCACTTACCGAATCCCAATCTTGTCCTCTCTGCATCGACGTCACTTCATGAGACTCTTGTAGTCGCACAAAGCTATCAAGCATAACAGTAGACTCCAAGTGTTCTGGCCATGTCATTGTCTCACACTCACGGTCCATGTGTTCAACCACACCATGGGACAACCCTGTTGTGACGGCATCTAAACACTCCTGCACTCGTTGTTCGTGCTCTCTGCACCAATCTCCATAGTCGGAACGCAGGCCTCTTATATGGTCAACCACAAACGCCAACAATGCTTTCGTCTTGGTCACATCATTCTCCAAGTCAGTAATCACAGTCATATAACTCTCTAGACGACGCTTCAGCGACTCACACTCACAGATCAGGGCATTGTTCATTGACTCACATTCTTTCAGTTTCTCAGTGACTGCCTCCAACTCGAACGATTGTGTATCCAGTGCACGCTGCAAATCCTCTCGCAACCCATCTGATGTGCAACGGTCAGTCGACGAGCCTTCGTGTGCATAGTCGATGTCTTGCACTGGTGACGTGGATCGACCAACTGTTTCGCACAGGCGATGTGAAACCCGTTCGTACTCACTCATTCTGTTCGCCATGTCGGCGCGGTCAGCATTCGCCTCAGCATGTGCTGCACGCAATTCTCTCACCTGCTTCAACAAGAAAGCTACTGAGCCTTTGGTGTCATCAGTGTGTGTGTTCGTGCCTTTTGAAATGAATCTCAGTTCTGTATTTTCACATTTTGTTGATTTATTTATATTATTTTCATTGGCGTTATCCTGTTTTGACGCGTCGGTCGGTTGATAGTTTTGTTGTGAAAATTGATTCTCCAGTTTTTTATCGTACTCTTTTATATTATCGTTTTGTTTTCTTATCATTATGATTTCGTTTTCTTTCTTGCTTTTGATGTTGTCTGCTTTGAAGTTTTCCAAATGATTTCTCGTTTGTTCGTTAGTTGTTTTACTTATTTCTTCTGAGTATCCTGTAACATTATATGCTTTTGTGTTCGAAGACCACTCCATATGCTTGACTATGTTGTTCACGCAGTCTTTAACAAGCGTTTCTGATTTCATACTATATGGTTCAACTGTTTCTAGTTCTTTACTTGATGAACTACGCGACATCACGGGAATATCTGATACGGACTCAGCGTATGTCATACTGCAGGGTTGTCTAGGTGGTGGTAGTATCAAAGAACTGATGAACATTTTTTCGTCTTTAAAATCCGGAGGCATTCTCGAAATGTGTGAAATTTTATCTTTTGAGAAGTCATCATGCGAAACGACGGTAACTTCTTCACAGTGACAAGCATGTGATTCATTGACATCATTCCGGTTTTGATGAAGTGACTTATCCCTTTTTGAAGACGAAATTGTGGCAAATGTAAACTTAGATTCATTTGCAGTAGAATCAACCATCATAGGGTCGACATCCGATGGATTTAACATCTTGAAACACGCAGCATCTAAAACTATCGACGATATGTATGACTTATTTCCATGGACGACGTTATCACCGAGTTTATTGCCTACCTCACTGTAACTGGTTACAAGAAATTGGTCTGAATTAGTAAGATCACTTTCGCAAGTCGCTTGAATTTCAGAGAACAGCTTATCACTTGAATAATTACGATCACTTTCTCTAAAATTAGAAAGATTACCAGGATTTTCAACCAACATACCATTGAAGTCGAAACGAGAATTAAAATGTCTAACAGGTGGGGGCAAATTAAAGCTCAAATGTTTCGTTCGGGTATCACTCCCACAGATCTGGGCATTGTTCATTGACTCACATTCTTTCAGTTTCTCAGTGACTGCCTCCAACTCGAACGATTGTGTATCCAGTGCACGCTGCAAATCCTCTCGCAACCCATCTGATGTGCAACGGTCAGTCGACGAGCCTTCGTGTGCATAGTCGATGTCTTGCACTGGTGACGTGGATCGACCAACTGTTTCGCACAGGCGATGTGAAACCCGTTCGTACTCACTCATTCTGTTCGCCATGTCGGCGCGGTCAGCATTCGCCTCAGCATGTGCTGCACGCAATTCTCTCACCTGCTTCAACAAGAAACCCAGTGATCCTCTGACCTCATCCATCTCCATGCACACATCGTCCAACAGTGTCACGCGCTCTGAAATCTTACTTCGTAACAAGTCTACCTCTGTCATCAGCTCTTTGTTGTGCTTTGACAGTGCATCAGCTTCGTCCGTCACTTTCATCGACCGGTCAGGCACACGAGAACTAAGAGGCATCACATCCATCGGCTTATCCTCACACATCATAACGCCCTCCAGCTCACGCAGACGCACACTCAACTCTGTCTTGGCATCCTCAAGTTCGCAAATTCTGCTCATGGCCTCCTTCAATCGCGCTCTTAGGCTGTCTGTATTCAACAGGGCAAGTTCGGGATCGTCATTGTCTTGTTCACTCGGCGGTTTCGTCCAACTCTGAGTAGCGTGAATGGGCAAGACCGCTTCCTCGTTTGAAACGCCCTCAACACACAAGTCCGTAGTTTGTCTGTCCATTCGATCAGGCACAATGCCTGACACTGAGTCGCCTGCAACAGTCTCCACCAGCTGCCTGTCAGGAACTCCGGCAAACACGTCTGCCTCCACTCTGTCTGTGTCATCAACCTCTGCAAACTCACGGACAACCACATCGGGCGCCTTTCTCACAGTATCACAAGGAATCGACCAAGTTGTCTCGTTCACCATTATACGTGACTCCAGTTCTTGCACTTCGGTCTGTTTCATGGTCAACTCGAGCTGTGAACGCTCCAGAGCCGCCAACGTCGCCGCATTTTCCTCACGCAGATGGGCAACCTCGAGCTGCAACGTCGACACCAGGTCAAAAACTTTGTCGTCAATCTCCGTCTGCACACACTCCTCCTCCACAGCAACAACAGCAGCAGCAGCAGCAGCAACGTTCGGTCCACGACACTCCACGCACATCGCCGACACCTCTTCCTTGCTCTCAAACACATCCATATTTGCACGCAGTATGTCCAAATCACGTCGTTCTGCCTCTACAGTCTCCCTCAACTCATTCACTTCGTCTCGTAAATGACGTTTCTCCTCTCTCAGATCCGCCACTTCACTCTCCTTCACAGTCAACAAACGCCGGACATCCATCAAAGAAGCATCGCTCTCCTCCACCGATCTAGACAGCTTCACTATCTGTTCATAACAAGACGTCAACTCTTCGCGCAGTTGACCAACCACATTCGACTCATCTTCACACAAACTTGAACTCACTAGCTTCTCTCTCGTCATCTCCACTGGACTCCTGGTCGACTGATCGGTAAATTCTAAAGTTGATAGTGTATCTTTAGCTAATGTGGATTTCGTTTCTTCAATTTCGGCTATTGTTAGATATTCTTGCTGTAATGTAGACATTATAGTCGTTTGTTCAATCTCTGTTTGATTAGTTAGTTTTAGTTCATTTATTATGTTTTTATTTGGATTTGTAGATGAATCAATAAGTGAATTAGGATATTGATCATGGTGATGTTTATAATATTCACTTTTTACCTTTTCATCATTTGTCTCGTAGCAATTATTTTCATACGTCTTCTCGGTATTATGTGGGACAATATTATGTCCTCGTGAAATAGCTTTTAATTTATAGTCATATTGTCTTAATTCCTTGTTCAAATCTTCTATCTGTGATGCCTGCATAGCAATTAGTTTGCAGTGTTTTGTTTTTTCACTCAAAAGTTTATCTACTAGATGCTGACACAAAGATAGCTCTTCATATATAACATGTAGCGCAGACTGAAGCTTTTCTGTCAACTCCAAATCCGTGATTTCATGTTTGTCATCTAATAATTTATCCATTTCTCGGTTAAATGAATAATTATCCTGTTCAATTTGATCAACAAAAGTATTTTGCTTTCTAATGATTTGTTGTTGTAAAATTTCTTGCAATTCAGTGAGTCGAATAAGAGATTGTTCAGCTGAATAAATTGGATATTGCTGATCATATTCTTCTGTATTGACCAGTAAATGTTTTGCATTATGAATTGGTAAACTCTTATCATCAATGAAGTATTGATCAGGTAATTCATATTCAATTTGATTCTTTTGATCAGGTATATATTGATTGAAATTCGATATTATTGTATCGACTTGATTTAAAAATGCTTTAGTCAAAGACTGTACATCAGATAATTCTCCATTATCTAGAAGACATTGTAAACTAGTAAAATGTTTATTAGATATAGTCAATTTAATATAATTTTCAATATCTAATAAATTATTACGTAACATTTCTACTTCTTTTTCAGATTTCTGTAATTTTAATTGTAAAATTTCATAATTTTGTTTTAATTGAGATAATTCAATTGAATAATTATTTGTTAATAATTCATTATTCAATATAGATTGATTATAAATGTTGATTTCATTTGATATTAGTTCATTTATTGGCCATGAACTATGACAATATTTAATTTCAGATAAATTATTATCATCTAATGATATTTGTTTATAGGATGGATCAGTCAATCTATGCAAATGATTAAAAGAATCAGTTTGTATAGATGAATCACATAGATCTTTATATTTATAGGAAATATAAACAGATATATTAGATTTATATTTATCAAATACTAAATTAATATATTTTAATTGTTTAGATAATGTTTGATTAAAAGTTTGATATTGACTAATTAAATGATGATAAGAATTTTTTAAATAATTAAACTTCTTTTGTAACTCACGTAAAGCTTCTTTTTCTAATGATGATGTTTGAATAAGATCATCTGTTGATATTATCTGATAAAAGAGTAGAAGAAGAAGAAGAATAACAATGCTATGATTACTATTCATGACAAAAGTATCCATAACTAGTTGTATATAAATTTAAGAAAGTCATTCATTTTACAACAAAGAACCATTTAATACATTTAGTTACTATGATTATTTCGAATCAATCAATAATTGGGTAAGTTGATGAATTATTTTTATAGTTAGATATTTGATATACTTTCTTTGATGTAGTTGCCCTCAAATGCCGTGGTACGGTCGAGAGTGGAGAGAGCCAGTTCTCCCTCTCAAAATGCTCTCACATGACCACGTGCATACTACTATTGACAGGGAAGTCCTACTCACTGATTTCCCGTGGCAGAAGTGTTGTTTACGAAATTGAGAAAACGAAAAGCGAATATCCGGAGCTCTAACCGGGTTGACGGATACAGAGAATGCACCTAGGGGAGTTGGAAAACCCTGATTCCAAACCTATGGTGTACATGAGCTTCAGAATCTTGAGGGAATAAATGATGAATGAACCAATTGTTGGTCACCGGCTACCATGGGACTGCATCTCATTACGATGCTCTATTGCCTTGTGGATCAGACATTTAGGCCGAAGGCTCCGGGTGTGCCACCCTAGTAAAACCACCTGTTTCGGTTTGGGCACCCGGGGCAGCATTGTAGCGGTCGCACAAACTAAATGAGATTTGTGTGGAGCATATGTATTTGGTGCTTCCTTTGATGTGGTTGAGTTGGATGTCTGAAGTGGGACAAAAAATTGAGAAAAAGGAAGAAGACAAAATATAACATTAAAAATAATAGTTGAAATCGAACGATATTAACATGTTAAGATTTTAACAGTATAACGTAGGGCTTGACATATAAACAGAATAACATGAGTCGATCTTATTTTGTTAGGTTTTCTTCAGCTACTCATAATTTATAACAATTTGGTGGGTTTTCTTTATCTCAGCTGGATAGTTCAATGGTGAGAATTTCATTGTTCTTTTAAACAAAATCATCAGTACAAACATCGCCAAAATCACAACTCTCCATCTGAGCTAGAAATCTTTTCCAGAACCTTATAGCATTTTATGGTTACAAATAATGTACGAGATTATAGTTGGTTAGGTGTGAATACGTATCATCATGACTGGAAAAAGATTCAAATAAAATTAAGACTGAAATAAAACGTTGTGAATACATTCAATGTGTAAGAGAAAATTCTAAAACACCAAACATACTCATTGAAGTTCAAGGAGCTAGAAATTAACCGATTATGCAATGAAATAGCGGAACATGTATTAAAGGTAAGTAAAAATAATTTGAGTTGAAATCAGTTTCCAAGAGGTATTTCCTGGAGTTCTAGTGAGAAGCCTTGGCCAACAGAGTTCAACCGGGTCTGTTGTGAAATAGTAAATCACTGAAGACAATGACGAACGGTGAACCAATTTCGTGGATTGGTTGTAGACATTAACATTGTTGGATGCCGGCCGCCTCAGTGGTCTAGAGGTTAAGCGTTCGCGTGCGAGACCGATAGGTTCTGGGTTCGAATCTCGAAAGGCAGGATTGTGGATGCGAACTGCTGAGTGCTATACTAGGAGGAAACGGCTGTCCAGTGCTTCCAGGTTTGCTATGGTGCTCTAGTTTCAATTGACTCATGAACTCAACTTTTAAATTACTATAACATCTCACGGAGAGTTGTGCTCTCAAGGTTTAACGCAAATGTTTCAAAATGTTTGAAGTTGCTGAGTTTGTTAAAGTGTTTAGAACCAGACACTTAAAACTTTTTCTGAAAGAACTGCGCTGGTTTTTTAAGTTGTCCATAATTTATGTCATTATTTAAACACATAAACATTGTTACAACGAGGCACCAAATAGATATGCGCCACATAAATCATTCGATTTATGTGAGGGCTGGGAAACTGCCCAGCTGCCCAGACCGAAACAGCCTTTAACCTAAATGTCTAATCTACAAGACAGTGGAGCAACATAAGGAGATGCAGTCACATGGCAGCCAGTCACCAAAAATAGATTCATACGCCATTTGTTCCCTCAGGATTCTGAAGCCCATGTACACCATTGGTTTGGAATCAGGGTTTTCCAACTCCCCTAGGTGCATTCTCTGTATCCGTCAACCCGCTTAAAGCTCCGGATATTCGCTTTTCGTTTTCTCAATTTCGTAAACAACACTCCTGCCTCGGGAAGGCAGTGAGTAGGACTTCTTTGTTAATGGTAGTATGCACGTGGCCATGTGAGAGCATTTTGAGAAGGAGAGCTGGCTCTCTCCACTCTCGGCCGTACCAGGCATTTGGGGGCCAACAAACCACTTTAACAAATGTATTTTCACGAAAGATATAGCAGACACGTGAAAGGAAAATAAAGTAATTCCAATACGCAACAATGTGTCCCGTAATAGTCTTGTCAAGTTTTGACCAATAGCAAAAATCTATCTTCTTAAAACAATGAAGAAACTTCCATTATTGACAGTTCAGCTTCCACTAAAAGACCACATTGATATGTGCTAGTTTGTTTACGAAATCCCAAGAAGTACAGTTGTTGTGGTAATACGGTGTCCATTATTGAAAAAGGTGCTAAGTTTGTTCATTGCACTCCATAGGTCTTAATTATTGTTTTCCGGACTTTAAGTAAAAGATTATATGGTATTGCGAAAACATTGGAAGTTATTAATATTATTAGTGAAGTATCTTTCGACTTCATTAAAAATTTGGTTAGAAATATTCATTTGAATTCACACAGACAATTAGCAAGTGTTATCTCATAATATATAAATCATTATAAGTTGTCTGGCAAAACAAAACACAAGCGAACAACAGAATTCATATGTGTAGTAGAGAAAAATATTATGAAACACCACTAACTTATTTTTCACACTGTATAGATATATACAATGCGAATAATAAGTTTTAAAAGTGGAATTAATCAAAAACATTTACGGTTGAAAATCTTAACCAGTTATCATTAACATAGTTTCCGGCACAGATGTGCGCTGACCCAAGTTTCTATACCATATTAGCGCGATGAGATAAAATTAACAAATTGAATAGCAAGGGGGGATCAAAATAATGTAATGTCCATCACAATCAAACTGATTAAGTATTAAGAAAGACAGAGTGGAATGATATGCATGAAGGAATACTGGAATTCAAAATCTCAGAGAAAATAAATAGTGAATATATCTAGGCCATTGTCAACAATTCTAGGCCATATCGCCTAAAGTTCCGAACAATTGATCACGGTTAAAACGTGGACCTCTGCCATCTTGATCAATTTCTGGTGAGATACTTAAAGATTAAGGTTAACACTTATGTCTTGGTTCATTGAAGATTGACTGACCTACAAGCTAGTTCTCTTCAATTGCCTATAGCATTTTACCATGTTTATTTTGTGTTCATATTTTAGCATATGATTTTATTCTGTGAAAAATTCTGTTCTTCTGACTAGTGGCATTATCTTCAAATTCTAATCGTCTTGGAGTTTAAGTCAATAATACAGTTTCATAAGGAGGAATTATTACGTTTATCAATCTATGACCATTCTACACAACGATTCTGATAAGCGAAAATTTCATTCCATCAATCATTGAAAAAGTCTTCTCTATAACAAAAATCTTTCAATGACTACTGATTTTCACCATGCACATCTAAATGAATAATACAAGTAACTTTTTTTTAAAATAATTCGTGTTAGGAATTATTGAAACTGAATTACTCCATTGTTATAATTAGGAACGTGGAATCATACAATGAACCGTTCTTTGACTAGTTATTAATCTATGTTATGTTCGATTAGTGGAATTATTGATCACATATGAAAACAGAAAGTATAAAATGTTAACTATAAAAAACAAAACAAACAAACATAAGGAGAAGTACTAATGGATTTATTTATTGTATAGCATAAATAAATACAGTAATTCAGTTAAACTGAAATGTTTGTTTACGTTGAATCATGATTGATATTTCAAACAAACAAAAATTATATGGTTAAGACAATCAAAATTGTATTTTACGATAGTCCTTTCTAGTGGATTGATATCAGTTGGGAAACAACGAAACTTTGAATTGCTGACATGTTTCCACAGATAGAGTTCTCGGTCAATAAATGTTCACGATGTGAAAAGCTATGGAATATTCTGCTAGCTCTTACTGACAGGAGATTATGCTAATTGTTTATGTTGAAACTAGAGATTATAAGTATTGTTTGAATTAAAGTTAGGTGAAGACTAACAATGGGATCCACAACACTCATTTCGTTGTATTTGAGACTAATCAGCTGGATTTAGTTGCTCCCTAGTGTTAATACTTACATTAAGACTCAAACCCAGTACATTTCGTCCCAAATTCCAAGGCATTTTATCTACTAAAATAGAATTGCATTCATCTGATGAGACCCAAACACGAAGAGACAAGAATCCTGGATTTCAGTGTCAGCCACTACCCAACACCAATTAAAGCTTGAACCTAACTGGTATCAAGGCCATCCGCACACGATGTACTCATCCCGAAAGAGATTAACTAGTCTTAGACCTTAACAACCACAAAATAACAGCAGTGGTTAAGCAGCGGCTAAACAAGTGATATACTAAAACCTAAAAGTTGATTAAAGTAAAGAAATATGGTTATTCATTTAGGATACAACTCCCCAATCAGCTCTCGACGTACACTTAGTGATAGCTAGCTTTCTAGACTCAAGTGCATCTGCTCCTCCGATGACTTAATTATATATATATTTAGCTGCGACTAGATACTCTTTCTCAGTATCTTGAAATGCAAGTATGCTCAGTTGCAATGTAAAACTCAGATTTCTTCCTGATTGAAATCACCGAAAAATAGTAAGCAAATAGTTAATGTATTCTAAATTTGAAACCGTTATATATGCATCTTGTGAGGATCATCTCGATATAGTCATTATGGCACAAATTAATTTAGTAGTTTATGCATAACAGTGAAATCCAAGACGTACGTTTTGTCCAATTTGGTACTTATCAGCTGGATACGTCTGTATTCAAGAGATAGTGTTCACTCTACTCAATAAAACAAAAATTTTACATTTTCCTAATGAATTCTTTGGAAGTTTTATTGATTAAGATATAGGTTTGTGTACTAAACATAGTTTATCCTTTATAAATAACGATAATAGAACAAAGGGAAAAAAAATAAACATACCTGATCATTCATTTGCTTAAACTGTTGTATATTCAATTGATAATTTTGATCTTTATTAATAAACAATGTTAACAGATCACTTGTAGATGTACACATATCTGTTAAGTAAATTGATTTCGTTTCATACTTTGTACAAGAAGATAACTCTTCCCTTTTGAATGATTCCAAATTTACCTCTTCAATATCTTTTATTTTATGTTGATTAGAAGTTAAAGCAGTAATAGTCGATTGATCTGTAAGGTTAGTTATTGATGGGACATCAACAGGTATAGACTTATCAATTGCGTTTGTTCCATTGATTTCAATAGCAACTGATTCTGGCGCAAAATATGTTGCTGTTGTTGTTGTGGTGGTGGTTGACAGTGAAGATTGTGACTCAACTAAACTAGATGATTTAAATGATGAAAGTTTATTATTTTGTATATACCATTGAAATTGTTCAATAATATTATATGCTTCATATAATGTATCATAATCCTCTTTACTACTAATCCATAATTTAGATTTATGTAAATCTGTACTAGTTAACTTTGATTCTTTCGATAACATTCCCCATAAACGTTGAAGTAAATTATTAATCGAATTATAAACCGGTATTGTTGTTGTTGTGGTGGTGGTGGTGGTTGTTGAAATATCGATTGGCATTATTGTCGATTTTAATGGGAATATAGTTTGATCTTCTAATGATTTTATTTTTGGTATAGATTCATAAATTTGAGAACTTGATCCTGGATCTAATAATAATAATGATGATGATGATGACGGTGATGATGATAATATACATTGAGTTTGATCTGTATCAGACAAATAATTAACTATATTATTATTAGATGAAGAATTTGTTGATGATAAAAAATAATCACTAATCAATAAATGATGATTTGTTTCCTTTAATTGATTTTTTTGAAGTTTTTCATTTAATTGATTTAATTGAATTTGATATTGTTTGATTTCATTTGATAAATCAATAATTTGTTGTTCAGCATGATTTGCTTTCATTTGTAAATCATTTATATTTGGATCAATAAATTGATTATTGAATTGATAAGAATTCATTGAAATGATACAAAAATTAAGTAATGCATTAAAAAATTGTTGACATATAGTGGAATAATTCATTTCATGATTTTTAATTTCCCAATAATTTAATAAATTCTGTGTAGCTAAATTAAGATCTTGTAATTCAGATATGAATGATTGTTTTATTCTTTGAATTGGAGTCATAGTAACTATGACATCATTATCATTATTATTATTATTTATACCGGGATTTATGATTTTATTATTGATTTCTTTAGCAAAATGATGTAAAATAGAATCTGTGATATTGATATTAATATCTTGAGATATTGATTGAGTAATATTTGTTATGTAATCAGTATGAATAGAATTAGTATTATTAGTAGTATTATGAGTAGTATATTGTTGATTTAAATTAGAATTTGTTTCAGTTAAACGTGATCTTAATGAACGTAAATATTTAGTTAAATTAGCTTCTTGTAATTCATATTCAGCAAATATTCTATCATTATCTTGATATAATTTAAATAATTGTTCTGATAAATATTTGATCAATGTATCACGATGTGATAATTCAGCTTCTAAACAAGCAATCTAAATAAAGAGATTTGAATAGATAGAATGATATAAATTCAGAAATAAAAAATAGATAGACTATTTATTAGCTGTAAAAAAAAATTTGACTATACTCAGTTGTTAGGTTCCGATAAACATACTTACTTACGCCTATTACTCCCAATGGAGCATAGGCCGACGACCACCATTCTCCAACTTACTCTGTCCTGAGCCTTCTTTTCTAGTTCCATCAAATTCTTGTTCATTTTTCTCATGTCTATCTCCATTTCCCAACGTAATGTGTTCTTTGGTCTTCCTCTCCTCCTTTGGCCTTGAGGATTCCATGTGAGGGCTTGTCCTGTGACGCAGTTGGGTGCTTTCCTCAATGTGTGTCCTATCCACTTCCAGTGCTTCTTCCTGATTTCTTCCTCCACTGGGTTCTGGTTTGTTCAGTACGTTGTTGCTAATAGTGTCCGGTCAACGGATCTGAAGTATTTTGCGTAGACAACTGTTAATAAACACCTGTATTTTCTGGATGATTGCTTTCGTAGTTCTCCAGGTTTCTGTCTCATACAGTAGAACTGTATTGACATTTGTATTGAAAATCCTGACCTTGGTGTTGGTTGACAGTTGTTTTGAGTTCCAGATGTTCCTCAGTTGTAAATATGCTGATCTTGCTTTACCGATCCGCGCCTTCACATCTGCATCAGATCCACCCTGTTCATCAATGATGCTGCCCAAATATGTAAAGGTTTTACATCTTCTAAATCTTCTCCGTCAATTGTGATTGGATTGGCGCATGCTGTGTTGTATCGGAGAATCCTGCTTTTCCCTTTGTGTATATTGAGGCCTACTGCTGCTTAGGCTGCTGTCACACTGTTCGTCTTTTCCTGCACTTGTTGTTGCGTTTGGGATAGAAGGGCCAGATCATCTGCGAAGTCTAGATCGTCCAACTGCATCCTAGATGTCCATTGTATCCCGTGCATCCCTTCAGATGTTGACGTCTTCATGATCCAGTCGATCACCAGGAGAAAGAGAAAGGGTGAGAGTAAGCTTTGGGCTCCTTCTATGGACCAATAGTAAACGTATATTTTTATCGTATAATTATTAAATAACTAAGCTATTCATATTTCTCTTATAATGAGCTTTATTTTGACCTATGAACCATTATTATACGTTTTACCATTGTTGAATTATGCCCTGTCTATTAGTCACTGCCTCACACATTCACAGCCACATTTGGCTAAATCTTGTACAAAAGTTATTTTCTATTTTATGCTACGTTGTAATCTGTTTGATTGGTATATAAACTCAGTATATTTGAAATATAATGATTCAAATCGTAGAGGCTTGGATTGGTGTTCTGGACTTAACTGGCTGAGTTAGGCGGAAATTAGAACCAATCAAGGCTCTAGGCTGCTCATACGGATGACTAGTTTATCAATTTAAGTTTTTACACTATTGAGAAAAAAGATATCAAGAAGACTGAAAAATTGAAAGGAATTTCAAATGAGAAAATCAGAGAGATCCAAATATACAAGAACTAATTAGTGATTGAATAATAATAATCATAATATCAGCTGACACAATAGATACAAACCATGAGGTCAATTGAAGCAAGTGCTTACTAACTCGGAACAGATTAGATATGGGTTTGAAATGAATTACAACAAGATTATTGTCCGGTGCAACAGTCACATAAGCAGAATAAAAGTAAAGATTTATATAGGTATCAGTATCAAGGTTGGGACTTGATAGTTTCAAATAAATTGAGTATTCAGTAAAAAGTTAATAACAAATATATTTTTTGTTATATCTGCGAATTGTAGAGGTTCCTTGTTTCGATTATAATTGATAAGCGTTTTTGATAATAACAATCAGCAACGACCGGAAATAAACAAGTAGCATTCAATACACAAGACATAACAGTGGCAACGGGGATTTCGTAAGAAATCCAAAAGACATATCAATATCCTAATGAGTAGAAAAGTTTTATTTCTAATGTTTCGTTACAATATAAGTTGCTTTTTCAGAGTAAATAAATAACCGGATTAAATTGACACAAGTTTAAATATTACAGTGGATTTATAGTGAATATTCAATTGGAATCGTATGATTTTGATTTACCATAACATATCATCGCTTTATTTATGGAGAAAAAAAAACGGGGTTCATTATTTTGAGAATATTTATATAATTAGCAACTACATCTGATAACAAACTTAATCTAATTCAAAATACTAATTCTACACTTTAAAGATAATCAGTCAGTGATTAGAAAACTTATGAATGATGACATAAACTTGATGATTCAACTAGACAAAGGTTCTTCTATAGTCTTTAAGAATAGATATATAAAGTAAATCCGATTTCAGATAATTTTCAGAAATTTATTATTCGTGGATCTCATAAGGATATAACCCAGTTGATATAAAGACATGTGATAAAGATGTGAAACGAAATTTTGATTAACAGATGAATTGATAATTTTGTTTATGATGAAATAGAATTAAAAGGATTCCCGTTAATTTTATTAATATGGCTGATTTGAGATACAGAAAATTAATGTTCCGATTAAATCGATATTATTCATGGTTGGCTAATTAGATATTTGAAATCTATTATTCATGGGAAACTAGGAATCTATAGTCTATAGGATTACCATGAACTTACTATAAAATTAGAAAGTTCGAATATTTTCGATATATTTACTGTATCATTTGATATGTCTTGACATTTTGCAAAGACCCCCGTCCTATAAAGAGGAAACTATTCAAATTATAATCTTCCACTGAAAACTATGGAATTTTTAAAAAAAAGGTTTCTGTTTAAATGTAATAAAGATGTAAAAATTCTGTTCTATAAAATTATGTGTCATCATACTTATGGGATCGTTATAAGTAGATTGTTTAGCTAGATTTCAGCTGACATCTTTATGGAATACCTGCAACATATGAAGTTAAAGCACATAATCGATGAGACATTTCTAATGTAGCCAGGTTGATAAAAAAAATACTTATACGTGTTACACCTAAAGTTACATTATGAAACATTTTATATGGGAAAATCAGAGCACAAGAAATTTAATTCTTCCCATGAAAGTTGATATTCTTTCTTTACAGAAGCTGATCAAATGAAATAATTAAAGATGTATTTTAACTATTTTAGATATCTACTTCATTTTTTTTTTCAACTAATCACATAATGTCATCAACATTACTAATAGAAAATTAGCGCGATAACATTTTAAAAAAAATTAAATTAAACTCGGAATTCAATGGATTCCAGATGGAAAATCACAACGATAAGTCTATCACGAAACAATGGAAGTCGATTTTATCTGAACTATCACAGTTAAGAATGCTTGTTTCCTTATAGCCTGGATTTAAAAGTGATGATACCACCCTTAAATTAAACATTCATCCATTCAGGAAGTAGGTATAAATTTATCAGTCAGTCAGTTACAACGCTGGATCAGGCACATATAAGCATCGGTCCAAGTTGTCATACATCATTAATACAACGAGATGAACACCAAATTCATTGAAGCAGATACTTCAATGGCAATAAAAAAATTACATACAAGGATATGAGAAAAAGAGAAGAAATTATTTTGTAGAAAGAACTGTATAAAGTAGTTTTAGTCTCACAGTTTAAGGGAAGAAAGAGATTGTATACACCTACGCCATTGTGATCGATTCCGAGTCATATCACACAGAGTATGCAACGACTGGTTTCGATAGCCACGCGGACCCTAACTAGGTAGTCTACATCTACCAACACGGCTCAGACCAAAGGTCAGTGACTTCAAGGACTGATACCAAGATTTGTTTGGCCCGTAACTCTGCCTCCAACACTAATCAGCATGGCGTGTCGTGGTAATCGGTGGTTGGGCATGCGTAACACATAGCCCAACCATCTCAGTCGACGAAGATTTACATCATCAACTAAGTTACCATCATTCCCTAATACCCTACATCCAACCGCACTAAGACATCTGTCATCAATTACTAGTGACTTACTAGTACCTTCTACTCTTAATGACCATGTTTCGCTGCCGTAAAGTAAAACAGAACGAACTGCAGCGCAGTATACTTGTCCCTTAATTGATAGACGGATATCTCGCCTTCGCCACAGGTGACGTAAGTCGGCGAAAACTAAACGAGTTTTTCGAAACCGTGCTGAGATTTCGTCAGACATCGACCCATTAGGGCTGATCAGACTTCCAGGATAAGTGAAGTTGTCGATGCGTTCGACTACTTCACTGCCTATCCTTAGTTCAGATGTTGAGGCAGACTAGTGCTGAAGCAACAACTTGCATTCAAAGGGGGAGAAATGCATCCCAAATATATTGGCATTGATGCCCAGTGCTATCAAAAAACTGCATTTTATCACCGTCTTTACTAATCAGGACTATGTCATATGCGTATTCTAAGCCAATAAGTGAATCTCCTGATCACTTCCGGAAAATTCAGACGACGAAGACGTTATTTCGATCAGTAGGTCTTTGATGGAATTGAATAAAAGTGGAGATAGTGGACAGTTTTGCTGGACACCACTTGAGGTCGCAAAATCAGATGAAGATATGCCATAAGCTCTGACTCAACTGGCAGTGTTCGAGTAAAGAGCCCTCACAAGGCTTATGTACTTCTCAGGTACGCTCCCACAATGAATTGATATTTTTGATTGCTTCTCCAATAACTAACATCAAGTTGTGCAACCTTCACTTGGTTATTTCATTGACCTTAACAAAGCGCTTTTCTATTAAATATGTGATGAATGCTTGACCAATTTTTTTAGATTTATGTAGATTCTTTCATCTTTGTTACACGACTAAACGGACTTTTAAATTCTATATAGTCACTTTCATATTTCATGATATTTTCTAAATCTACATTCGATGACCTTAAGTATGGATTTTTATAACACCGATAATCTTTGTCACCTCATTTACTCAGTCAACGAATGTTCATTATTAAGTGTTATGTTATATTTCAGCAAGAATGGTATTGTAAGACACCCATGAGAATATAAGGAAGATAGATTCAGATTACTTTTCTTCAACTGCAACAGTTTGTTCGGGTTAGTAAAGAGAAATAATTACGTAAAACACGTAGAAAGGTTTAAAAATATCCCTGTTAACCTTCACTTATTAAAACCAACTAAAACTGAGAGGCAATTAGTGTACAAATGAACGAATAAAGCTAAGCTGCATAAAACCATAAGAGTTCTGACTAAACTACTCTAAGGTAAGTGAAGGATGATAGATTTCTTCGATGAGGTTGAAACCGTTTCCAGTAGTGCTGAAGACAGTTAATGTTTACGATTTTATGGGTCTACACTGGCTCTTTTTGGTGTAGAACCGCAAGAACAAATAATTAAATGAATGCCGGAAAAGGTTAACCGTACCAATGAACATGTGTAGCTCATCAAGTCCTCTTGATAAATCTTAAACCTCACTCGATTCAGAAACAAACAGATATCATTGAGTGGTCTATAACACAAAATGAGAATTTACAACAAATGTATTTTCATGGTACCAATAACAAACATTTTTCTGTTGCTTAGAAGTTCTTCATTCATCAATTTCATGTTGTTCGTACGCTGGAACTGGTTGTAAAATGTTATGGTGATCAGTTTATGACAAGATAATGTGGTATAAAAGAAAGCTAAGTAGGACTGGGATCCATCAGTCTATTATGACTCCTTGGTTTGGGTATGAGAGATGGTTTTTGCGACGTAATTAAACGTAGCTTAAAATAGAAACCCAAGGCGATGCTGTTGTAATTTTCTTATCCTTTCTTTAGAAATATGATAGAAAAATTTTCTGGATGGAAGAAATTTGAATTTTCACGTTTTTATTGTTAACTGAACCATCTTTACTATCATACAGTTTTCCTGTTAATAATTTTTTTGTTAATTCTCTTCAAATGTGCTCTCTTTTGCTCACAATGTCATCTATATTTTGTGTGGCGTACTCTATTCTGCCATGTTGCGCCAAATTTTGTCCATGAATCAATAAATAATAGTTGTAAATAGTTTGGAGCATATTGCGCCTCCTAGAAAAATGAGAACTTGCTAGGAGATTTGATTTTCGACCAGTAGATTATACGTTTGAACTCCAATCTATCAGTTTTGACAAGCAATCGAGAAGTCTCACTGAACATTACAAAGTGTGTATCATAGTATTACCCGTATTAGCAACTGACAAGTAAAAAACCACACGCTCATCAAACCGACCTTTGAGGTAATTCGCTGATATTTGGGTTTAGCCTATTTCAGATGTCATATAAACTAAAAGTTTAAGAACTGAACCTATTATCTCAGGTAAACTTCCGTAATTCTGCTTCTTACGAATCTTCAACAAAAAACCTTAAAAACCTGATATTACACAATCAAATATAAAAGTGTTTATTTAAAGACACTGACAAAGTTACTCCCGAATATCCTATTACTGTTAAAACTAGGTAGAAGCCATTCTACGTGATTATGGTCACTTCTATGAACTTCTTACTAACTGCTTTACGAGAAATATGGTAGAAATGAGAGTACTATGAATGAACAAGGTTGATGGATGAGGAGGATCTGCAGAAAAACATTAACTCGAAATCAATCATGCATATAGCCTTTAGGATCATACGGAACCAAATAGCACACAACACTAACTTATTCACTGATTACCTTGAGAGCATAACTCTTTATTGAGCTGAACTACCTCGTTGATTGGAATTTACGGTTAAAAAACGTAAAAGAATTGGGGACTCAGGATTTGAGGAAAGACAGTGTGAATATATCTAAGCTATTTCGAACAATATTAAAGCATAGTTTTGCAGGATGAAGGAAAACGAGTTTTGATTATTACGTTCAAATTTTAGGCAAACTTATTCACCAAGTATTTAAGTAAGAATTACTCTAAGTGTGGAGGCTGATGATACTACCTAGTTTTCCGAACCGAAGTACGTGGAGCAGGGTTCTAGTTCTCCACCTAGTGGTCCAAAGGCGAACGTTCTTGTCACTAAGTCACTTATCCGACCCTTATGTGGCTCACTGTCACATTATTTGTGAAAGTGAATTGGATTTCTCAAATAAAAGATATCTGCCTCGGTTGTAAAATTCACAAGACCGTTTCTCTTCGTTAGATAGTAATTTCGTTCAATTTTCAACAAAATATGCAACCTAATCCTCCTCCATTTCACTCCAATTTTAGCATCCTATTTCATGTTCTGAATTCGCCTCTCACCCTATTGTGCCATTTTCGATAATTGAAATAAATATCAGGTTTTCAAAATCATACAAAAATTTTCAAGCTTTTTTAATGATGCTGAAGACGGAAAGTTCTTTGTAGAGCAGTGAACAAGAGGTTAAGACGTGAAAATTTTGACTACTGGGTTACATGTTTTATCTCCACGTCTTTGGGCAGATGAGTAGTATGAACAGTCATTATACTGATTAGCAACCTACTAAGTAAACATTTACGTCATGAGTGGCACTTGATCCAGATTTATAAACTAATTTTTTTGACAGCGACTCTATAAACATCAAAGTCTTACGTTAAGACCGTACAAACAAAGCGCCTAAAGATTAACGGAAAGTACTGATATGAATCATGTGCCCCAAAAGGGATACGGATTCCCCATATAATCAGTCATTATTTCAAGAACTACAAATCAATTAAGAAACTCACCTCTGGATGTGTAAAAACTTCTGAAGCCTGGACATTTTCAGTTTCCTGGTTTGAAGCTATAGAGGTATCGTTTTTGACTGGAAGTCTATATTTTGTTTCACGCTGAGACATATCTACACCCTTAAAATATCCTACATGCTTGGAACAACAGGAGTCTTCAGTATCAATCACCGGATAAGGAGAAACTGAACGCTTGATTGGAGATTTTGACCCTTTAGTCAGTGATGTAGGACGTCTGACTGATTTGAGACTATGCCCCATCCTCACTGTTAAATCACGTCCATGGCTAATTGAGTCATCATGGGTAGTACTTTTTGATCGAACTCTCATAGGAAAGCGGGACTGCATATCCTTAGTAGGTCTAATGTGATGACTAATGGGAGAGATGTTTTGACGCTGAACAATAAAGGAGCCAAGCTCCCTAACGGCATCCAACATTTTCTCACAAGCCTCCTGATTTCCTCTAAAATTCTAAAAGAAATAAATTCATTTCGACACTAACTCGTACCTTTTTTGACGGATTTCTATATTTAGTAAGGCGGTCATTTTCCAAAATCTAACAAAAAATGTTCAAATATTTCACTAAAATTAGAGGTACCTTATTAACAGCAATATGTAATTTTTTCAAATGATGCTTGAAATTCTGTGACGATGATTCCTGGTATGAAAAGAACTATAAGAATCAAACAGCAACTCACAACACATATGTTAGGAATATTTGTTTCAGGTCTTTTATATAGAGTAGGTTTTCTGACTAAATCTTTGTCCAACGTAACATCTGCAACACCTGAAGCATCAAAAGAACAATCCCGAGTGTTACTTCCTCCTGAGGCTTCAGGTATTGAAGTTTCTGCATTAGTGTGGTATGTGTACTATAATTATTTTCGTTTGTTCAGAATATTTTGCTCACTTGTAAGTTTTCATCCCTAGATTCAGAGGCGCTCATGTTGCCACCATTCGAAAAAAAACAAGCTCAAACTTTTCTTCAGAAGATTAACAAAACCGAATCAAAGCTTTACAAACAAATTGACGCGTGGCTACTTCAGACTATTATATCAAATGAACCGCTCTATTAGTTTCCATGATCATGAGATTGAATTAGCATAACTAAACACGGTCACATGGAGTAAACTCTACGGATTTATCTTATTGACCCTGATTTTCAGCGCTCCAAAGATTTGTGGTGACCTACTTTTGTCAAGAGAACTCAATTGTTTTAATAGACACCATTGTTATTATAACCAATTGTACCAGTGATTGTCTTACTGTACTTGTTTGTTTGACTGTGCTGAAGACATACATTCTTTTTTCTGTTGATTGTGACTTTGCACGCGCTTACGTTTGCTCAGTGATTCCGCTTGTACTCCTTTGGCACGATCTCGGTATACTTTCGATACCACGAGATCACCAACAAATATATCTCGCTACAACCTCCAATCGCCTTCTGATATCTCGTACGCCATCTTCTTGTAGCGGTGATCATAGTCAACCGCAACTCGACGACACACTGCAAATTCAGGTATTTTGTCCATGTATTATAGCGACGCGTAGATTCAGTAACCTGCGATGAAATGTCAGATCTCATCTCGTTGTGTATCGTTGAATATGAAATCAATAGCTATTATTCATTTGTATCAACTGAGAAAAAACCGGCTAGTGATCGATCGATAATAACGTTCGGTTCTGCATTTATCATTCAATTTTCTTCTTTACTGGTAACGGCTTTTGATTTAATAGTGTCTCCAATACATCCGATAACTTTGTGATGATTTTATAAAAACCATTTGGTATTTTTGCTTGCTTGTTGCTTTTTGTTGCGATCCTGAGGATTTGATAATGCCCAATGAAGAAAAGCCTAGTCATTCAACTAAACATGTAATGGTTCAAATGGTTGTGAACGAAAAAGCTTTCGCTTAACGGGCTTCCGTATCCAGTAGCGGTGAATCAACGATGCCTCCAGGTGTGAACCTAGTCTACCTATCTACTTCAACTGAAAAATTAAAAAGAGAAAAGCGTCTACTACGAATGAAAAGAAGGAGAGTAAGGAAAACTTAACTTGGAGTCTAATTTAGTTCATAAATTAGAGGACCTATGATGTCTGGTTGGGACGCTAATGTGTTCTGTCGTGCTAGTTCTGTGCATGCGGAGGCTTCACCACACGTATTTCGGAGGGGAGAATGTTCCACATTAATGCAGACCTAGTGAAGAAAAACTTCTCCCGAGCCCAGGATCTACATGTGGAGCAAGTAAGGTTAAATAATATGAAGTAATTAGTCCCTTTCATAAGCTTCGATAGATCAATGAAGAGACGGAGTTGATCTGAAAAATATGATGCATTTGCGCTATACATTTCGATCAATCTGGTCACACATATACTTGTCAGGGCATTTTATATGAAAATTAATAAAGGTCAGTTAAACGAGAGTTCAATTCAAAACTTAACAAAGGGGAGAGAAACAAGTTTACATCGTATGGAAAGAATAAGAAATTGTCGCGTTATCCTAGGCCATAGAATGACTTAAGGATTACCAAGGTAAATTCAAGGTTACGACAAATTTTTTTGTACATAGAAGGAAGGTTAAATTTACGAATAGTCAAGACTTAAACAAATAAGTTAATAAATGGGCCTGAAAGATCAAAGGTAAACTAACTTAATTGTAGGAAAAATTCCATACACTAATTCCAATCAGTCTGTTAGTCATTTGTGGATTTGCAGCATTATGATCTAAAATTGTATATATGTCATGATTTGAAAACCTTATCTATAGGATCTTACGCGTACGTTACATAATCGTTTGTTCTGACTCGCCGTGTGCAACAATCCGCGATATAGAGTTTGGCGTTTGTAAGGGCAAATCTAGGCTAGCGATAGAGTAGTATATTTCATGTGAGTAAATGAAAGTTATACAAAACGATCTTTACCGCAAGACTGAATCCAATACTCCCGTGTTAACTACTGCTAGTCTTCTATCTGCTTTAAATGTTGTGTATCCAATTCTACAACTCCGCCTGTAGCTCTAATAGGGTTACTGTCGGTCCTAAGCCCGGGTAAAAGAGGAGGGTTGGGCATGGGGTTAGCGTCCCCATCCCGTAGAAAACTAACTCGCTATAAAAATCGCTTACCAGAAAAAATAATTCAAACCATTTAAACACTGTCCTGGGAGTAAGAAGGTCTTCATGGTGAAAGCCGAGTTCCTTCGGAAGCCACGAGCCCGATGACCCTTCTAACAACCAGAGCAAAAATTTTTATAGGTACATGGAACGTTCGAACAATGTGGGAAACCGGGAAGACCAGTCAAATAGCAATGGAAATGAAAAGATACAACTTAGCAGTACTAGGAATCAGCGAAACCCACTGGACCCAAGCTGGACAGAAAAGGCTAGCTACGGGAGAGATGCTGCTATACTCCGGTCACGAAGAGGACAATGCTCCACACACTCAGGGAGTCGCTCTTATGCTGTCCAAAGTAGCACGAAATGCACTTGTAGGATAGGAATCTCACGGATCCAGAATCATCAAAGCATCATTCAAAACAAAGAAGGAGGGGATCTTAATGAATATTATCCAATGTTATGCACCCACAAATGATAGCAACGACGACATTAAAGATCAGTTCTACGAGCGGCTGCAGTCAGTCATTGAGAAATACACAAGAAAGGACCTAACTATTGTGATGGGATATCTAAATGCCAAAGTCGGAATAGACAACACTGGATATGAAGATATAATGGGACGACATGGACTGGGGGGAAGAAACGAAAATGGAGAAAGATTTGCAAATCTATGTGCATTCAACAAATTGGTCATAGGAAGCACAATATTTCCACACAAGCATATACACAAGGCTACATGGATCTCACTGGACCACACTACAGAGAACCAAATAGATCATATTTGCATCAACAAAAAATTCCGAAGGACAATGGAAGATGTGAGAACCAGGAGAGGCGCTGACGTAGCTTCAGATCACTACCTAGTTGTAGCTAATTTAAAACTGAAGCTAAAAAAGAACTGGACAACTGGAAAAACAGCACTACAAAGGTTCAATACAGCCTTCCTTCGAGATACTGACAGACTCAATGAATTCAAGATAGCTCTCAACAACAGGTTCCAAGCCTTACAAGATCTACTGAAAGGAGAAGAAACTGGTATGGAGGACAACTGGAAAGGCATCAAGGAAGCATTGACTTCAACGTGTCAAGAGGTTCTGTGTCTAAAGAAATACCATCATAAGGAATGGATCTCTACAGAAACACTGGACAAGATCAAAGAAAGGAAGAACAAGAAGGCAGCAATAAACAACAGCCGAAGACGAGCAGAGAAAGTCCAAGCACAAGCTGAATACACAGAAGCAAACAAGCAAGTGAAGAGGAGCATTAGAACTGGCAAGAAGAAATACGTAGAAGAACTAGCAACGACGGCAGAAAAAGCTGCTAGAGAAGGAAATATGAAACAGCTTTACGATACAACGAAGAAACTATCAGGGAAATACAGTAAACCAGAGAGACCGGTCTAAGACAAAGAAGGCAAGCCAATCACCGAAATTCAACAACAGCGGAACAGATGGGTAGAATACTTCGAGGAACTCCTGAATAGGCCGGCTCCAATGAATCCACCGGACATCGAAGCGGCACACACAGATCTTCCCATAGACGTCGACCCACCAACGAAGGAAGAAATCAGAATGGCCGTCAGACAAATCAAGAACGGGAAAGCAGCGGGTCCGGACAACATACCAGCTGAAGCACTGAAGTCAGACATCGAAGCAACTACAAACATGCTTTACCTTCTATTCAAAAAGATTTGGGAGGAGGAACAAGTGCCGATGGACTGGAAAGAAGGGCACCTCGTCAAGATTCCAAAGAAAGGAGATCTGAGCAAATGTGAAAACTATAGAGGCATTACACTGCTGTCAATACCAGGGAAGGTCTTCAACAGAGTGTTGCTGAACCGGATGAAAGATGCAGTAGACGCCCAACTTCGAGATCAACAAGCTGGATTCCGTAAGGATCGATCATGCATAGACCAAATTGCAACACTACGGACCATCGTCGAACAATCAGTTGAGTGGAACTCATCACTATACATCAACTTCATTGATTATGAAAAAGCATTCGACAGTGTAGATAGGAGGACATTATGGAAACTTCTTCGACACTACGGAGTTCCTGAGAAGATTGTCAACATTATCCGGAACTCATACGACGGACTACAGTGCAAAGTCGTGCATGGAGGACAGCTGACAGATGCATTCCAAGTAAGGACCGGAGTCAGACAAGGCTGTTTACTCTCTCCCTTCCTCTTTCTTCTGGTGGTCGACTGGATTATGAAGACCTCGACGTCTGAAGGAAAACACGGAATACAATGGACAGCTCGAAATCAATTAGACGATTTGGACTTTGCAGATGATCTAGCCCTCCTATCGCATACACATGAACAAGTGCAGACAAAGACAGTCAGTGTGGCAGCAGTCTCTGCATCAGTAGGCCTCAGAATACACAAGGGGAAAACCAAAGTCCCCAAATTCAAAGCGGAAAACAATAATCCAATAACTCTTGATCGCGAAACTCTGGAAAATGTAGAATCCTTCACATACATAGGAAGCATCATCGATGAACAAGGAGGTTCAGATGTAGACGTAAAGGCAAGGATTGACAAAGCAAGGACAGCATTCCTACAGTTAAAGAACATATGGAACTCAAAACAACTTTCAACCAATATCAAAGTGAGAATCTTCAATACCAACGTCAAGGCAGTTCTACTGTATGGAGCTGAAACTTGGAGAACTACGACAACCACAATCAAGAAAGTACAAGTTTTTATAAATAGCTGTCTACGCAAGATACTCAACAGCAATTGGCCGGATACCATCAGCAATAGCCTTCTGTGGGAGAAAAGAAACCAACTTCCAGATGAAGAAGAAATTAGGAAAAGACGATGGAAATGGATAGGACATACATTACGCAAATCTTCAAACTGCATCACGAGGCAAGCCCTAACTTGGAATCCTGGAGAGAAGCGAAAAAGAGGAAGGTCAAAGAACACATTGCGTCGGATAATAGGAGCAGATATGAAAACGA